GTAAAATCTCAAAAAAAAAAGAAGATTTGGCCCCACGCTAACAGCCATGGTACAGGAGAGGCACAAAGTCTGTCCCGGCGAGGGGAGCGTTTTCGCACGGGGGTGAGCACTTGTGGCCCCCTGCTACAAATGGTTAATGTTAAGGGCTTCTCGAGAATGAAAACCGTGTATGTTCTGCACGGAGGCCACGGTGTATTAGTGGAGTGACTTCTAAGGAAAAAAACCTGGAAGTAAGAACCTACATTAAAGCAAAGTGAACCTGAAGATAAGAAGCAGCCGACCTAGGCAAGTCTGAAAAATAAACTAACCCAAGAAATTCCAGCGTAAGAGAAATTCTCCAGGTCAAACATGGATTATTTGGGGGGGGGAAAAAAATCTTTTTTTTTTTTGGCAAACATCTCTATCACTCGAAACCTCTGCGGCTTTTGCCGCCACTGTCGCAGTTCAGCCTGTGCCACCTCGGGCTCTGCCGCTGCCTGGCTGCGCAGAAGACTCACCCCTCCTGCTCTGGCAGAGCTGGTAAGCTGCATCTTATTTGCAGCGAGAGCATCTTGAATTGACAAGCGGTTAAAAGTAATGCTTCTTTTTTAGCCTACGAGAGTAAAATGGCTAATCTTTCCGAAAAGGATGTAATCTCTCATCGGTAAGAGCCATTAACAGGTTTAGCTGAATTTTATCACACTAGCAGGAGCTGCTGGCTGTAGGTTTTCATAAGCAAGGCTCTTCTTCCTGTGACTCTTCATTTGCCGGCAAAAGGGAACATTTCCACCTTCTGCCCAAAAGCATTTGTACAAATAAAGAAAGAACTCCTCTCTTACCATCTAGAAAATATTTTTTATTACCGAACTCTCTGTATTTAATGCCATGATTGAAATACGAGTGAAGCGCAACAAAAATTAATCAAGAACTCCTGAACTAGAATATTCTGAAAGAGCCCAGATTTATGCATCACTTTTTCCTCCCTTTAAAAATACCAGATGGTTCTTTTAAAATTCACATTTACCATCCCATTAAAAAACCCTTAATGCTTTGGTTCGATTTCTTTAATAAAAGACCCTACTCTCTGGAAATATTTCAGTTTGGAATCATATGGACAAATAGTGTTAATAATGTATAAGTTTGAGAACTCCGCTACGGAGGACTACATGACAGTATTTTAGAATCAGTTTTCTAATGTTAGGATTTATTTTCAAACTTGAAACATATTTCACCTTCATTCTCAAGGAATTTACATTGCTTCATAGTGGGGGAGGGAGCAGGTAGAAATTTTCTCCCCTTCCAACTTCTCTTCAGCTACAAATTGCTGCAGCATTGCTGACCATAAAAAAGGGGGCTTGGGGCTTCATTTTTGAAAGTAGGCTGGGAAAATGTATTTTAAGCATTATATATTAGGAGTCCATTAAAAAGTAAAGACATTTGATTATTGTAGAATTAATTTGGGGGGGGGAGGGGGGGGGAATTCATTCCAACACCAACAAATCACTTGATCCATTATCTGCAGGAGGAAAGCGGAGGGTGCGCTGCGGCGGGGAGAGAAAATGGTGGTGCCCTTCCCCAGCCGGTGAGCCAGCACAGCCGCTGGGGCGAGGCAGCACGGCGGGAAAAGGAAACCTGTCCCTTCACAAATTAATTTTGAAATTTTATCTAGGCTTCCAACGAGGCGATTTGAGTTTTGAAGGGATACACTTGTGTCACTTAGGCTCAGCAGAAGTATATGGGATCGTTTGGTGTTCACTTTCACCCTAAACAGGAGAGCGGGAAAAGCGGCGAGGATCCCTTCCCTGCCTTCCCCAGAAAGTTTCATTTTAAACTCCCACCGAGTTCTTCTTCAGATTGCACCTAAAACGCACGGAAGTCTCAGTACATAGATGGTCTGTAGAACGCTACACCCAATTCAAAAGTTTCCGTTACACCAAACCCCTAAACTTGAGTTTAGGGAAATCATTCATAACTAAGGAATATTAAGCTATCAGAGGCAGTGGTTAAAAAAAGAGCTGAGTGATGTATTCAGCATGTTCCCCGTGAGTCTTGGGCTAGAAGTACTCACAGTTAAAAAGTGATGACTATCACTGGTCAGAGAAAGTCTTCTGAACCGGTGAAGTTTAGAGCATGCAGTTTCCATTCCCGCAATTTGCCTTTGACCACCATGGCAACATGAACGGTGAGGATTTTGTTACCACATATCCTCAAGCCAAATAAAACGTTCTCTCATGCTTCATTATCTAGGGACTAATAAAAAAAAAAAAAGAAAAAAAAGAAAAAAAAAAGGAAAAAAAAAGCTCCAGCTCTTTAGATAAGTCACTGCATTAAACCTTATGGAGAGAAGCAACATGCAGGAGTATGTTTCATCTTTTCATTGAAGAAACACTTTGATAGCCACGAGCACAAGTGTGTGCTGCACATGTATAGACCCTCTAGATAAAACCCCCAAGTATAAAGGATATTTGGAATTATTTTGCCGTTAATGGCTAAGTTATGTTTTCTGTTACCCTTCTGAAGAAGGGCACCTTCTAAGCCTAGTTTCATTTGGGAATCTACAATCCTTGAAAATCTGAAATGTTGGAGAACAAATGGTGAATCTGCCTAGAGCTACATCCAAAGCTCATCAGCTGCACGGATTTCAGAACTGCAATATTAGCCGTTTTTCAGTCTTGACGATACTTTAAACTGTCTTAACTACACATAATATTCTACCGTATGAAAGCCTCCAGGAAAGGTCTGCTGCTAGGGAAAAAAAAAAAAAAAAAAAAAAAAGAGAAATCTGTGCAGCTGAAGACGCTAACATTGACGAAAGGCAATGTTTTCAAAATACCTGTAATAACTCAAAAAACCACCCCCAAACTCAGCAAATGATGATGGAAAATTGTTATAAAGAATAAAACAGTGAAAAAGATCATTTCGGCTAAGTACAAATTACCACAGGTGGAGGAAGATAAGCAGAATAGTGTTAGGCACAGAGATTCACTTGGTCAAGGCGTAACTTCAGTTCCACCTAGGCAGATGACAAATGTAATGAAATGTTGAAATTATTTTTTTTTCCCCCTCCGAATTGGTCCTGCTGTCTCTGTTCCAGACTTCTAATTTAGCCCTACTTTTGTATTCCCATTAGGCTCTGCAGCGCTGGTCTCGTTCCTAGGATGGAGCAGCACCAAACAAGAATTCTGGGTATACCCTGCAACGAGCAGCTAAACCAGGTCTTTTTTCAAAGGTTTACGCTAAGCTTCATTTTATTTTCTTTAAAGAAACATCTAGTCCGTGAGAGAAATCCCCAGACAGATTTAGGATTATTTTAATTTACCTCTGTAGTCCAGACAGTTTTGATGCATTACTGGTACTTTGGACATTTTGTCTGCCTCCTGTAACGTTGACGGCCAGTCAGTACACGGCCAGTGCTTCAGATTAAGTTGTTGCCTTCTGCTCTAACGTTCTGATAGAGACCGAATACAAAAGAGTGAGCCCTAGAGAGAGCTCCTTGGGGTGAAATTAAGCCCAGAAAGGGAATTGTGTGTCTGCATAGATCTTTGCATGGTCGCAAAATTTCTGGAATTTAATATAGATTGCTTCTGCAAAAGTCTTTGGGGAAGAAAAAAAATAATAATTAAAAAAAATCCCTGTACAGAATGATTGAGAGCTACACACACAGAAATGCTTTCAAAACACAAGCATTTAATTTTTTTTAAATGTTAAGTGAGATGTAAATATGTACGTTAGCAACAAAGTGCTCAAAAGCATACCGAAAACATATTCCGTACACAGTTAGCAATAGAAGTCTGTACAAAAGTAATAAAGTTACACATTATAAAAAATACTCCGTAACTATAATTTAAAAGAGGGAAAAAAGACAAGGGAATTGATTTCTCAGTTCATATAATTTATTGCAGTTAGCACACAGTTTAAAAATTCACCAACACACCAATAGTACAAAACTAAACAGCATTATAAGTTATTCCCCCCTCAGGAAAATAAAACATACTATGATTGTCAAAGCTAGATGTCAGTCTAAGTTTTAGAACAAAAGAAGAATGTGAAACTAAGGAAAGGAAAAAAGCAAATCACTCACGAGGACCACAAAAAAATCCAAGAGAAAGTCCATTTTCCTCAGACACTGATTGTCTTCTCTAACTTAAGAAAAGAATGTAGTTTTAAAACCTAGAAACTATTCAAGTAACTAAAGATAACGCTCCAAGGCCATTTTCACAGCTTTTTTTTTTTTTGTTTTAAATGCCATTACAGCCAAATTAACACACATTTGACCAAATATTTCCAAAACAGTCCAGCAATACACAATGGAGTTTTCCATTCAGTATCTTAAGCACAAAAATAGGCTATGTTTACAGTAGTTAAGGCGATCAAATTTTAAACAAAAGCAGAGGAAAAAAAAAAAAGGAAAAAAAAAAAAAAAGGAAAAAACAGCAAACGTTTTCCATGCTACTCCCATAGACCTTATTTGTAAGTGCAAGACAGGAAAACAAACACTGTGCAAAATGCTTTTGACCTGCGTGTTGGTCATTAAAACCACACGTCAGGCTGCAGTCTCTGCTGCTTGGATACACATAGTCCTTCCCCTGCCCTCCCCCGGCCCCCCTGTCACTCAGGCCTGCCCAGGCCTTTCAGCCCAGGGCTTTTGCCTTTTTTTTTTTTTTTTTTTTTTTTTTTTTTTTTTTTTGTCTCCCCCTTTTTTTCTG